TTCCTCCAATGGCTTTGAAAAAAACAACATCCTTAACACCAGCTACCAGGCCCTATACCTGTGGTCTCCTTGGGGAGGGCACTGCTCGACAGGCAGTGCTCAGGAAATCTGTGAGGGCATTTCTTGGTGGTCTCAGAGACTGGGCCCTCCTGGTGGGGACCAGGAATCCTAGGTAGCCCTGCAGAGCTGAAAACTGCCCCATATCTGCAGGCTGTTCTTATGTCCTGCCAGACACTCACGTGGGCCAAAAACCTTTAATTATCTGGGTGTACAACCTACACTGCTTTATATAGGAGCACAAAAGCACTTTTTGCACAAGTTTACACAATGAATCTTCTCAAAATGTGACTACTGTATAAATCAAGTAGGGATGTATTTCTTTTGTTTGGAATATTATGAGAATTGTTCACCATCTTGGAAATCCGGCCACCATCCTAGTCTGCATTTTTCTTAGTCAGTGTTAACAGGCACAGCATTCAATCACAGGGGGAGTGTTGGTATGTATCAGTATGTGTCTGAGCCTTTACATGTTAAATTACATACCTGTAATTAAAAACTACTTTCTTATTATTTCAGATTACCAGTTGGGTAATATATTTCTTTTTAAAACTGTGTGCATATATAGGTTATTGTCTATAAATTGTGTTCCAGGCAGTGGTGGGGACAATAAATATTCTGAGGGGACAGGTAGGCCGGGGGAGGGACAAATTAGGAGTATGGGATTAATAGATACAAACTACTATACATAAAATAGATAAGCAACAAGGATATACTGTATAGCACAGGGAATTATACCCAGTATCTTATAATAACCTATAGTAGAATATAATCTGCAAAAAAAACTGAATCACTATGTTGTACACCTGAAACTAACACAACACTGTAAGTCAACTGTACTTCATACACACACACACACACACACACACACACACACACACACACACACACATTAAGGGAGCACTGTACCCCTAACATGACTGGCCTCCCAGTTCCTCTCTTACTTCTCTCCTTCCTCTCCTCACTGTACTCCAGCCACTCCTACTTCTCTGCCCTTCTTCTCCCTGCCAACCGCACCCACCTTTGCCCCCCGAAACCCATGCCTTCTGCCTAAAGACTCCCCTGACCCCAAGGGTTCTTGCTCAATGGCACCTTCTCAGTGGGGGTCCCAGTTTTAAACTGCATCCCCGCCCACCCCACCTCAGCCCAGCTACCTGGCACTCCCTGTTCCACTTCCCTGCTTTCCTTTCCTCCACAGCTCTTATCACCACTATGTACTTTTGTTTTAAAACATCTTTATTGGAGTATAATTGCTTTACAATGGTGTGTTAGCTTCTGCTGCATAACAAAGTGAATCAGCTATACATATACATATATCCCCATATCCCACTCCCTCTTGCTTTGTCTCCCTCCCACCCTCCCTATCCCACCCCTCTAGGTGGTCACAAAACACCAAGCTGATCTCCCTGTGCTATGCGGCTGCTTCCCACTAGCTATCTGACATTTGGTAGTGTATAGATGTCAATGCCACTCTCTCACTTTGTCCCAGCTTACCCTTCCCCCTCCCCTTGTCCTCAAGTCCATTCTCTGTCTGCGTCTTTATTCCTGTCCTGCCCCTAGGTTCTTCAGAACCTTTTTTTTAAGATTCCATATACATGTGTTAGCGTATAGTATTTGTTTTTCTCTTTCTGACTTACTTTACTCTGTATGACAGACTCTAGGTCCATCCACCTCACTACAAATAACTCAATTTTGTTCCTTTTTACAGCTGAGTAATATTCCATTGTATATATGGGCCACAGCTTCTTTATCCATTCATCTGTCCATGGACACTTAGGTTGCTTCCATGTCCTGGCTATTGTAAATAGTGCTGCAATGAACATTGTGGTACATGACTTTTTGAATTATGATTTTCTCGGGGTATATGCCCAGTAGTGGGATTGCTGGGTCGTATGGTAGTTCTATATTTAGTTTTGTAAGGAACCTCCATACTCTTCTCCATAGTGGCTGCATCAATTTACATTCCCACCAACAGTGCAAGAGGGTTCCTTTTTTTCCACACCCTCTCCAGCATTTATTGTTTGTAGATTTTTTGATGGTGGCCATTCTGACTGGCGTGAGATGATACCTCATTGTAGTTTTGATTTGCATTTCTCTAATGATTAGTGATGTTGAGCATCCTTTCATGTGTTTGTTGGCAATCTGTACATCTTCTTTGGAGAAATGTCTATTTAGGTCTTCTGCCCATTTTTGGATTGGGTCGTTTGTTTTCTTTATGTTGAGCTGCATGAGCTGCTTGTATATTTTGGAGATTAATCCTTTGTCAGTTACCACTATGTACTTTATCTCTGTATCTGTTCACCCCATAGAATGAAGGCTCTATGAGGGCAAGTATTTTGCCGTATCCTCAGGGTCTAGAACAGTATCTGGATACCTTTATAATCTACTTACGTATTAATGGTTTAGAAATACCAATTTTGAAATCTTCAGTGATAACTGCAAGATTAAAATTAAATTGAAAACTCAGGGTCTCTATATATGTTACCATCTTTAATCTTTGTATAGAAATAGAGACAGAGAGGCTACCCGGGGCTGAATTTAGCTAAAATAAGCCAATTTCTTCTCAGAAAAACAATGAGACTTAGAACATATTGAAATTTCACTGAATTGAATTTCATTACTTGAAATTACTAGGCCTTAATCGGCTTTCTCTAATTCTGCCTTTAAGTGTCTCTTATCTCCTCCTTGCTCTGCCTACCTAACCAGTTGCTGGATTCTCCTGATCCTATTGCTGGCACGCCTCTCATCCTCCCCACCTCTTCCCTTCCCGCTGCCCCTTTCTCAGGTCTGTCTCACGTCTCTAGTCACCCCATGCACTGCTGCTGGATTAATCTGGAAGCTGAGCACCTGCTGAGTCACTCACCTGCTCAGCCGCGTCAATGGCTCCCAACTTCCTGTTCACTCAAGTACAAATGGCTCAGAGCTACCACAGGGCTCAATATCCCCCCTGCCTCCCTCCCTCCACCTCCATCCCCCAGCTCCTCCCAAACCGGACCAGTGCCCACACCCCAGACCTGGTGCCTCCTTGGCTCCTTGCCAGGCCTCACTCCCGACTGAAAGTCAGTGTATCCGCCAAGGCTCAGCTCCAATGCGTGGAGGCTTTCCTGCCCCCGCAGCTGGACACGGGCTCACAGCAGTTCCTAGCACTCTCTTTGGCGGTTACAAGGCTGCTCCCGGTTGAAGTTCTATGTACTTGTCATTTCTCCCTCCCGACTGTGGGCTCCCTGAGGGCAGGGGCTGTCTTTTTCTTTTTTGTGCCCCATACAGTATCTTTCACAGACTAAGTTCTCTAAACATGTGTTAAATTTAAAAGGAGGCAAATTCTTTAAGCTCTAAGTTACAGAACAGAACAGATTGATTTTTAAAAACAATTTTTAAAATTTATTTGGTTGCATTAGGTCTTAGCTGAGGCAGGAGGGCTCCTTAGTTGTGGCAGGCGAACTCTTAGTTGCAGCATGCATGTGGGATCTAGTTCCCAGACCAGGAATTGAACCCGGACTCCCTGCATTGGGAGCGAGGAGTCTTAACCACTGCGCCACCAGGGAAGTCCCCAGATTAATTCTTATGTTTGGCTAAGTAACAAACGAGGCAGGACACAGTTTTGTTGGATAGAGCCGAGGCTACTTGCAGAAATTAAGACTTGGAGATCAATTCAAAACAATACATGTAAGGGAAAGCAAAGCAGAAGAATGAAGTGGCTTGGGGGCAAAAATGCCCTGCCTGGGAATACTGAAACTGAGGGAACAGCCCTACCATTTAACAGTGAAAATGTTTATCTCAATCCTTTTGTGACTTGTTGATTTTCATCTCTGGACAACATCAGAAATTCTGAAATATAAAGAACTCTGCATAAACATGAGGAGAAAGAGCACAGATAATATTCTGGGAGACTGTAAGGCACTGCCCAAACTGGGCTCTCCCATCTTCTTGTGGCCCCTCACTTCTGAGAGACCTGGTCCTTTTCGTCACTTAAAGTCCTTGCTGATCCAAGCAGGCCCAGCAGGTGAGGGAGGGCAGTCTGTGGTACCCCAGCTGCCAGCATCTATGGATGGTAACGTTTGCTGCTGAATTGACAAGATGATGTGTGACCTTCTGATATACACCAATATTTTTCCATGTAAAATACTGTTTTGGAACATTTTATTAATGAAGGGAAAACACTTGTTGTGCTCATGAGAATAATGAGTCACAGATTAGTGACGAAAGAGAACATACCGGTCAGACCTGAATTTAGGGACAAAGGAGAATTATGACAGGACTGAATAATAGAGATGACTCTGAAGCCCCCAATCCTGGGATTTGCCTGGCTTTTATCAGGGAAGAGTAGTTTGGGAATTGAATACAATTTCCCAGCTGTTGGGACTCCAGGCTGCCAACCATCACCAGGAAGACAAGATCATAAAATGGAAGCACGGTAGATTAAATGAGAGACAAGCTTAGTCCTCTACTTCCCTTGATGTAAAGAGCCAATAAAGTGACCAACTTGGATGAATGTCAAATCTTACAGCCCTCAGTTATTTCAGCCTCTATAAAAACAAATCAGTAATTTGAGGTTAGAGAAGATACCTTTTTGTAATTATGATTACAAGATTCTAATCATTAGAACTCAAAAAAAAATTTAAAGCAGCATGTCTTCCTAAAGACCAACCAGCCAGAACTATTAATAGAAAAGCCTAGAGCCATTTAGACATGAAATCCAGACAGAAGCAAAATAATAATAATAAGAAGAAAGATATAGCTTGTCTCAACTGGTACACTTAGCGGATAATCACAACTCAAGCTGTAAACATACCCTTTGAGTGCAACCCCTCTCTTCTCCTTGACTCCATTATCCTTTTTAATTTTATTAAATAATGTATAACTGTTTTTCTCTTTTTCTGGAATGTTTCCTTGGAAGCAGCTGAGCACATGTCCATGTTACCCAAGGGCTAAATCTAAATTACCTTCTTTCAAAGTCCATTTGATTGAGCCTGTCCTCTTGCTGACGGCATGCAAACTTCCGTCCAGGGTTGATACAAACAACAAGGTTTCAGGAAGTGTCACAGTGCTGGGACTTCCAAAAATCTGCAATGAGAGGCAGAAGAATCTACGTGGTCAATATGAGTCCTCACCTTGGGCATGTACAATCACAGACAGGCCCCTCCCTTACCCCAAGAGTTATCCTTCTAAAATCCACCACCTTACAGATGAAGAAACCGAGGCTGACGAGCCTAAGTTCCCATCAAGGTTTGCTGCTGAACTGACAAGACGGACAACATCTTGGACAACAGCTGGGTCAGGACTAGAACCAGGTTGCCTTATTCTATCTGAGCAGCAATCCTTCCTGCACACGGGCTTATGACCTAACACGTCAGGGATGGGGATTCTGAAATAATCCAAGGCAGCCTCCACTGAAACAGAGAAAGTATGCTCAGCTTTCAAACTGACTTCCTTCTCTTGGTTATATCTTACCTTCTAAAACCTGGTTTTCTTGCAAGACTCCATCTTGCAAGAACGCCAGCACACCTACACACACCCACACGCACTTAACGAAATTTTAAAAGGCAGGGAATTGGGGGGAAATATTTAAAGCAAAATAGGAAAAACAGTTCTCATAAACTCATAAAGAGTTTATATAATAATAAAACACCAAGATTTTGAGAGAGACATGTTATAAAAGAAAATGTATAAAAAACATGATCCAAATGATTCTTTACTTATAAGCAAAATATAATTTAAATCAAAATGTACTTCTTATGCTTAATGAATTAAAAAAAAAATTTTACAGAAAATAGCCAAAGGTAGTGAGATTCACTTTCTCATCCATCGTTGACTGGCAATGAAAATGATAAGTTAGCGCAACCTTTCTGGAAAGCATAAAAGTACTCATATTTCTGATCCTGTAGCTCCACTTCTACATCCTAAAGAAATAACTCTGGATATGGAAAAAGCTCTTTGCACAACGTTACTCATTACAGCCCATTTACAAACACAGAAAACAGGAAAGACCTCAATTTTTTTTTTTTAAGACCTGAACTTCTACATGGTTGAAACAAATTATGACAAAGTCAATGGAATATTATGTAATTATTAAAATAGCACTTGAAAGAATCTACAATATAGAAAAATGCTTGCATATGTTATCATGTGAAAAATATAGAATCCAAAATTTAATGTGCACTGTGGTTATAATCATACTGGACAGATCTTTTTTTTTTGGCCTGCCCGTCCTCTAGCTTTGCTGGGAACAGTACACTCATCCACATGGTTTCCATGGGAGCAGCTGTGTGTGTGTGTGTGTGTGTGCGTGCGTGTACACACACGTGAGCAGGTGATAGCTGGTACGGTTTCCTAGGACAACACCCTTTTGAGGTCTGGGCCCACTCAGCAATGCCACCTTGTAATGAGATTTTTCTCTTTCTTTGTCACTATACTGTCCCACCAATCAGCTGGTTCCTGTAGGTCTTGAATTAAAAATAGGTCAAGGTGGGGCAGTGGTTGAGGGTCCGCCTGCCCATGCAAGGGACACGGGTTCGTGCCCCGGTCCGGGAAGATCCCACGTGCCGCGGAGCGGCTGGGCCCGTGAGCCATGGCCGCTGAGCCTGAGCGTCCGGAGCCCGTGCTCTGCAACGGGAGAGGCCACAACAGTGAGAGGCCCGCATATCGCAAAAAATAATAATAATAATAATAGGTCAATGCAACTTGCTTACACTGCGACAGTTTGAATTTTGGTACAAATGCTATTTTTAAAATATAGGAGTATGGCTGGCTTTTAGCACAGAACATAGAGACTGGAGGGTTACTTGTGCGTGGAAGCCTGATCCCAGAATACCTGGTCACTCTTGGTAAAAGCCAGGATGACACTAGTTAATCCTTCAAAAGGGAAAGTTCAATTAATGGCTCTCTCCAGGGCAGCCTGAGGTGGCAGGACAAACACTCCAGTCCTTGCATTCCCTTTCCAAGGTGGAAACCCCCTGACAAGGGGGCGAAGCGGCTGCCAGAACTTCCTCTCACCTCTTGCATGTGTCTGGCCTAGAGGGGAAGAAGTTCCGCCCTCCACTTTGCCCAGGACCAGGGCTCCTCACCTGGAATGAGGGAAACAACAGCAAGCCTTACCCCTACCCGCTGAGTCTACTCTCCATGTAAAGCCTTAAGGATGAAGAAGAAGAGTCTGCTTTGAACGCCACCTTTGCAACGAGGAAATCAGTCTCAGTACAGCCTGGCTAGGAAAACGGAAGCCCCAAGGGTAGCATCTGCCCTTGGCAGAATCCAAAGGTCTTGTACACCAACTATGTCGGGGGTTTTAAAATTATTTTAGTTCACAGGGTACTGATGGTGACAAGCCTCATCTGGACCTGCTCATACCTGAACCAGAGGAACACACATCCCCCGGAGCACCAGGCCTGGAGAACAGTGACCCTCTGACGATCACTGAGGACTGCAGCCAAATGGGACTTGGAGGGGTGGGAAGGCTGCCTCTCACGGAGAAAGGGGAATGGTCTGCAGCTTGATGTGGGGTGCCACATGAAGTCAGGCGGGGGCAGTGGAAGACTGAATAAATGAAAAGGGAAGATGGATGCATATCTGGGTGCCAAAAGGTGGAAATCCCCTCCACTTGTCACATAGTTACCCTAGGAACAACCATTTTTAAGGTCTTGGGAATCACACCAGAATTGGGTTGAACAATCTGGGTGGCTGAAATACTAAGCAATTAAACTTGGGAGATTTCTGCGGATACGTTTTCCACCACGTGGAAAACGCTGGATGAGAGGGAGGAAGGGAGGAAGGAAGGGAAAGAAAGAAAGGGGGGGGGAGGGAGGGAAGAAAGAGAGAGAAAGAAAGGAAGGAAGGAAGGAAGAAAGAGAGAGAGAGAGGGAGGGAGGGAGGAAGGAAGGAAGAGGCCTGAGAAGAAACATGGCTGAAAGGCTGGGAGAGGGGCCCTGGCCTCCACTGCTCCTCAGGCCTGGCCAAGCTCCTGTCCTTGGGCCCATGGACACCTAGTCCTTGCAGTCAATTCCCCTCTTAAACTCATTGGAACTAGGTTTCTGTCCCTTGAGACTGAAACAGTCCTAACCACCCCCACCACCACACACACACACAGCTATTTTTTAATATATCTATAGAAAAAAAAAGATGAAGAAAATATTGTAAAATTAAAGCCATAGTTTTTCTCCTCTATTTTCTAAATTTTCTATAATATGATCATGTAATATGCAATGAAGTTTTCATAAAATATAAAGGAGATGGACAAGTTAGCAGGTGGAAGACAAGCTGGGATTTAAAGGAGCTTCAGCGAGCCCCTAAGTTCCAGAAGCACTTTCCGCCTCAGGATATTAGGCAACCTGATCACCTTTGATCACTGATATCCACCAAACAAGGGACAAAAGTTTAGAAACACAGAGGTCTCCCAGTCAGAGAGTGTGTGTCCAGAATAGAAAAGTTTTGCTGTTGTTAAAGCCTACAGTACAACTATAATTAACTAAATGCCTCCAATACATCTTATCACAGTACTGATATTATTAAAAGGGGCCAACAGTTACTAAAACATATCAGTGCTGCTCCACGACCAGCGTGGAAACAGAAGCCACCTGCCTTGTTTGAGCACCTTGGAAACCACAGGAAGAGCAATTGTCTATGGTTGGTTGGCGACTCGAAATAAAACACTAATCACATAACTAATACAGTCTTCTAAAAAATCTCAAAAAGACCAGGTTTGGCTAGGAGTTGAATTTAGCAACTGAGAGCGCTGAATGAATCACAATGTCCGCAGTCACGTCACAAACCCCATCAACCCGACAGATTTTTCTCTTCTTTGAAGGTCTTGACATTTTCAAATTAGAACGAGCCACTCTGAACAGCGTTATTCTCTCATCAGGCAAATTAATACTACAAGATTTCTGCCTTTTTCCCCCAGCGTTTTTTAAAGCATGAAAATGTCTGCTTTCAGATATAGTTGCTATAACTCACGTGACTTCAATAAGCTTCTAGATGCAATGTGCGATATGGAGCACAGCTGAGAACTATTTGTACCCAAACATCTAAAAACACTGCTTCACAATAATGACCTTGCATATCACCTTCACCCTGTCGGTGCTCCCTTTTCCCTGCAATGGACGAATTAGCAGCAGGCCCTAGAGTTATGCAAACTAGTTTCCAGAGAGCCTGAAAGCAGAGAGAAAAGGCTGATCCTGCAGATCTGTTTCAAGTTGATTACCTGGAATCTGACTCATTTTTCAAACAAGTGGGTTATACACTCCTGGCTTCCGCAGTGACTTCTAAAAAAGTAATTGCAGTGACATTGTAGAGGTAAGTGGCAGGGAATCTAGTCCAGCCTAAAACGAGACATCCATTAGCCAATTGGTCCTCATGGAAGTCTGGCCACATACGTCCTCTCACACGAGGTGACCCTGACATAACAATTCTGGAAATGCCCCGTCTGAGGACCATGGAGCCTGGCAATTCGGACCAGATGATGCTAGGGAAGTGGGTGTCTGTAAAACCAGCTTATTTCACTTGTGTTGATTCCGTGGTAAAAACAGTCCTCACTGCCGCCCTGCTCAGCCAGAACTCCCTCCCGTGAAAACATAATTCCGGGGCTGGATCCTCATGTTCAATGTTCTGATTATAAAGCAAGATTTCCCAAACTCCAGCAGATACACCACTGCATAAAATGCACCACTGCATAAAATGCACCACTTGCTTTGCATTTCCCACAAAGACATGCAAGCAGCTACCAACTGCTCATACAGAGATGATTAAAAGGTAGTAGTCGCCGACGATTTCATTCTCTAATATTCTAAACTCCGCTAATTGTCAGTTGCTCCTGCATTAATGACCTCAACTGCTTGTACTTCAGGTAAGAAAAAAAGTCTTCTAAAACAAGTTCTGAGATAACTTTGTTTAGAAAAAAGTCTTCAGTAAAGAGCACTATGGACAGAAGGGACAGATATGTGTTTAGGTAGCACAAAAACAAATGAAACAAGCCTCTAACACAAACCCACCAATTTCTGAACTAGTACTTGGGGTGGGTCAGGCCAGAGGTGGCTCACCACCAGCAGCTGGAGGAGAAGAGTCAGCAAGGCCGG